GACCATAGCAACCTTAGTTCTTCATACAGGAAAAATCCATATTTTCCACAAAAATAAATATATCAAGGTGAACCAAAAACAAAACTGTTAAAAATAGATGTGACTTGATAATTAAAACTTAATTTAGAACAATATACGGTTTTGCCGCTCTACAGAGTGTCTTAAACTTATGGTAAAAAACATCTTTTTGTTTAAACCTGTATATTATAAACGTACTTGTATTTTTTAGTAATTTTTAAAATGTGAACGATTCTCCATTAATGTATCTACAATATTCTTTAATATTTGTTTAAATCCGAAATCAAATAAAAAAGTTATTTGCGATTAAAATTCATCGAAAATTTGTGTGGATCGATTATTTTACCTGTGAGTGTATATGTAATATTTTATACTACAGTTTATAATTTGACATTTAATACTTTTAAGTTAATAATGAATTATTGGTACAGTTTTTGGTAATCCAGTCTTTTAACATGTTTTTAAACTGAAAACTAAATCCATTTTTTTGTTTTTTTACAACATTAAAGTTATTAGGTTACATGTTAAAGATTTTTATACCATTGTAGACACCAGTTTTAACTTTTGGCAGTATAATACTGCTGCTTCTAAAATATTAAATTTTGAACAATTTCCTTGGTAAAATTAAAAATTTATTTTCTTTCAATATATTTCAGTTTCACCTGCTCCTGAAAAAAACAACCGTAAAACAATGTAAAATATCGCGTTTTTCATATTTAATTTGGGCTTTCGTCTGTGCAGATTGGAAGGAATTCTTTCGGAAAATGCTTGCTTAATCTGTAAACTATGGGCTTTAAGTCGATCATCTAAAAACATAAATTGCGGGTTGCCATAACCCCGGGACACAGATCAATATTGTATGGTTTTGATTTGCATATTTATGAGAGTATCGGTCTCTTAGTTTTGCTTGCCTTCCACTGATTTACTGCAATTTGCTCTCTTGCGTTCGGCAATTTTAAACGAAAAAATACCCAAGCGAAAAAATACTAGGTTTTATAAAAAAAATTTGAACAATAATTTTTGTGCGTGAGAATTTCGAGTTTCAACCATTAAAAAAATGATTTTCTTATTTTTATATAATAATTACATTTTCTATACAGGGTGTTACTTAATTATGTACAATAAATTTTAACTGGCGATTCTTATTTAAGGACAATAATGAGAAAAAAAAGTTTGGTTGTTAAAATAACCAAATTATTACTTTATTGTAAGTGCTTTTTTTATTTTTAAGTTTAGGGTAATTATTCAATTAAAATTTTTGTTTTTAAATTAAATTGTCTTTCAAATATGTAAAAATATCGGTTAACCAAAACGGTTTTATAACGGTATAGCCAAATTTGGGAAATGGTTTATTTCGTTATTTTACCTTCATAATAACCTTTTTGATCTACTAAGAGAATAACGTAATAAAAACAATATAAATACCACAAATTTACGTAAAAATAACGCTATAATTACTAACTGTTTGCTCTCTTTTTCTAAAACATTGACATTCGTAATTTCTTTGTTCTTTTAATTTATATTTTACAAAATGGTACTTACAAAGTAATAAAGGCCACCCTATAGTAAAATTAAAAAATATAGCTAAAATTGTCAAAACTAATAATATTTTGCATTAAAACTCAAACGCGCATTAATTTATTGATAAAAATAGGCACGATACATCTTAAAAATTATATGCCCTTAAAATATTTTACGGTTTTAAGAAAAATTATTGCTGGGTAAAAATTCAACAAAACTTAAGACCTACATAATTTTATAAAATCTTTTAAAAATCATTTAGTTTTAATCATTTTTTATTAACTAAAACTTTCCTTATTATATTTTAGAAAAATATTTATGATTATTTTCCTCATTATAATATGAACCAATCAAAAGCCTTGAATTTTCGAATAAATTTCGTTTAAATAAGCGATTAAATCACTAGAACTATTTAACAGCGATTAAATTTTAGCTTCCATATGGGATTTTTGTTTACGATTTTATGGTGTTATTTACAAGTTTTAACAAACATTTTTTAAAAAACAATAAAAAATTAGTTATCTAGTTTACGAAATATCAATTATTACTTATTACATACCTTAAATTAATGGAATTTTCTTTAAAAAAATATTTATAAATTTTGACACATACGTCAGATTTTATGAATTGTCAAATAGTTTCCTTTAATTCGAGAAATAATCTAGATGTATATCACTCAACCTATTAATTTAATCTGTCAAACTATGCTCAGTAAGTTTTTTATTTGATTTTTCCTTTTGGAAAATTGTTTCATGCAAAATAATTAAAAATAAAACCACCAAACATTCAACATTTTCCAAGAAAAACCAAACAAAAAACTACTGAGCCTAGTTTAACCACTTAAATTCATAGTTCTCATGATATAATATATGAAAAAATATTATATTAATGTTTAGATAAGTAAAAAAACTCATTATGGTGACCTGAAAAAAAATTTCCCTTAAAGTCTTATTTTTCACTTTAAGCTTATTTTTCCTTGTTTAGTCAATATTAATAGTATTTATTACCATATTATAACCCTTTAAAATACCAGGCGAATAGGAATTAGTTACGGTCTTAATATCGTAAAATTATGCGGCTTGGGTAGTTTAACCGACTTTGTAGCTCCAATAATAATAAAGTTAGCAATTGTAAGATAACTTTGGACACCCTGTGTTTAGGATTTTTTTAAATTTCCTATAAGTTGTTCATCATGCATCTGGCAAAATTATTAAATAAATTAGAAAAAATTAATCCAAAATATTCTAGCAATTGAACAAATTTAACAATTAGATTGTACGATAAAGATTTTTTACTATTTTCCAATTTTTTGGTAATTAAAAAAACGACAAAATAAGGTTTTTATAAACGGATATCTTAAATAGTTTAAATGCGTGAGAATTCCAATTAACCAGTATTTTTTGCCTTTTAAACGCATTTAACATTGTTTGACTTTTTAACGAAAAATCCAATGAATACTAAACAAGTTTTTTTGTGTTATTCCAACTAAATTACACTCTTGAATTATTTCATTAATTAAAATAGAAAAAAAAACACCGTCTAAAGGTAACACAATCCTGTGGTATTAATAGTTGAGTTCATGGATTTGAGTATAATTAATGCTTCGGCTGATTATTTTAATTACCTATAAAATATATCGAATTAATGTAATGAATAAACACAATCCAATTACCTAGATAAACAAACAATAACAATGTAATGCTGCTGGATAATGCGCTAATTAAAAAAACTTAATTAAACATAAATTGTGTGTTCAAAATTAAAACTGTTTTTTAATAATTGGGTAACCTCAAAATATTTGCCAATAATCTGTTTTTACGCCTCAAACAAATTTAAAAGGAAAAAATATAAAAGTTGCAAAATTGGCGAATGCACCACCAAATTTCAATTGTTCAACGAGAACTGCTATAACTTCACAAAAAATTGTTTTACCGAAAAAATGTGACTGAATTGTAATTTATTTTTTTACTATCCAGGCAATAATTTATTACTTATCTAGAGAGTAATGACAATACACTGTTAGATTTGTTAACATGAGTTTGTAGTTTGTTAATTTTATTTTTTAAATTTTAAGATTTTCGATATCGATATATTCTACAAAAGTTGGACTTGATATCATCAGTCAATAGAGTAGGTATTTTAATATTTTTAGTAAATATTTTAGTATATTACAAAAGATCCAGGTTTTTTTAACTTGTCCACCCAATTTTAATATATTTTTTCAAAAGCACGTTTGTAGAAAAAACAAATAAATATTCAAAACATCAGTAACTTGGCGTGTCACAACTCCTGAATCAAATATTTGAGTGGTTTTATTTTAAAATATATTCAATTTAGCTTAAATTTTTCAATTTCACTACAAACTATAAAACATTAAATAATGTATTTTTCATATTTTATCATAGATTCGAATAAAAGCAATTTTAAAAAAATTGATAATTTTTGTACTCACTCTTACCCGTCAGTTCTGTGTCCAAAGTTAAAATTCAAAATTCCTGCGAAATATTGAAGTTTAAACGTCAAATCCTCGTTTTAACTCAAGTGTTGGTAAAAAATTACCTACAGAGCCCGCCTTTTGCACGACAGTAATCTTGAAAACAATGCGAAGTTGTGGTGAATGCACGTATAGTTCCAGTCAAAATTTCAGTTCTGTGGGGAGTAGTTATTTTCTTATGTATATATATTTCATTGTAATTTATATATGTGATTTGTTGATAAGTAGCATCCACTAATAAAAAATATCAGTAAAATACTTTATTCCGAATTATAATCTCAAATTTGTATCCCATTCATCAGTACCGTGTCGTCAGTTCCATGTTCGATGTTTCGGTTATCTTTTTTTCGCAAACTTCAATTTAAATTCTGCTTGCGCAGAACTTGTTTTTATAATGTCATTATAAACTCATATAAATTTGGTGTGGGTCCCAATTCTAATAATTCAGATATCGGTATACCCAAAATCCACCAGCCGTCACGCATGTGTGGTATTATTTGATTTTAAGATATTTAATGTATAATATGCTCAAAGTTGCAATATATCTTATATTTTCCAATAAATTATGTATTTAATTAGTACCCTGGTATACTCGTCACTTCCCTTGCATTCAAATTTAGAAAACACAGATATTTCAGAAACTGTTTGAAAAAGTGACTGGCCCGGTCTGGAACAGTATATTTATTATATTATCTATGTTCTCATAACAAAATACTGTTTAATTTTCTCCGAAAACTATATAAACAAAATGAGGTCATTTTTTCAATTTTTTCAAAAAAATATTTAAATTGAATTACATTGTCTTAGTACAAAAGTAAAAGGCAACCTAAATACTGGGTGGTTGAATCTTTGACTGACATATTGCAGATCTGCAATGTTATTGGACTGTTTTCAGGGAAGAATGGAGGCAATCGCAATGTAAATATATTAATCAAATATCGACGGCTTCCATCTTGCAAGTTTTAAAATGCTTTATAACAAACCCATGAGCAGTGCAAGAGAGAAAGAAATGGGCTGTTTGGTCTCCGATCAGATAAGAAACGCGCGCGGTATGTAACACAACATTATGCATTGTAACCTGACATTACCTGTGCACTGCGATTGGTGAGTCGCTTTACCATTGGCGAGGCCCCACCCATGTGGTATTCATGGTACATCGGACCTGCTGACCGTAACAAACAATCGACAGGTCGTCTCTAGGCAAAGTTGATCTGAGCGGCTGGATTCAATGTTCAAGAGTTGTATGTTAATTTTATAATTATTTACACCACGACGTTTGTACTGTATGGGGCTTTTAAGTGGTTTCATCTTTGTTGGGAGTTTGTATTGATGAAAATGGTACAAAGTGTTTATGTGTAATAAAAATTGTTAATTACACAATGGATAAAAGAAACTAATGGATGTGTGACAGTAAAAGAAAATAAATCATTAATTAAAAAAAAATAATGACTAAAAAAGTAAAAAATTATTTTTAAGCATTTCGCATTTCTTCTTACCAAAGACAAACAAATTCTAAAGCTTCAATCTAGATCAAACAAGTTTCTGTTTACTTATTGAATAAGTAGTTTTAATTATTTTGTAGATTTCATAACAAAACCTATGTCAATATTTCAACCATAAATGAACACGAAAATAACATACACACAATTAAATAACAAACCATTCTGAAATCATCAAATCATAAAGAAATTTGGTACAATATAATTATCAGTACGGGACAGTATAAGGAATTTGAATAACAATAATAAGAGATTTCTGGTAATAATATAATATTATAAACACTCTGGACAGTTGTTACGAACAAGTTACAAATTAGAGTAAAGTAAGCAGAAACATAAGTTGCAGTTGAATAAATATAACAAAAAAGTAGTTTCTCTTAATAAAGTAAAGATCCCTATTCGTCCAACAATTGCTTTTGTTACTGCAAAAAGATCATTTTTATAAAAATTATTTATCTAAAAACGCTGCTTCAGTAATAGCATTTGCATTAATTATAAAGTAAATTTACCTTATAAAGTAAATTTACCTTATATTAAATTATATTATATTATGTTTATAAAAATAACACTCTTTCAGATGCAGAAACGCATTGATAAATATAGATATTATTATTTGTCCAAAAAACCAATTCTATACCGTTTACAAAAACGTTTTGTAGTACCTATTAAAGAAAATGGTATTATTCATAGAAATTTTGTAAATTTTACAAACTCCGTTCCGTTTAAAATAAAACTTTTTTTATAATATTAATAAAATTTATGTAAATTTAACAACAAATTCGTTTATATAGAATAGACCTTAAATATTTCTTTTAGAAAACGTCGAAATTTTAATTTTCTTAGTGATCTTTTTGATATTTTTATCATGCTAGATTTTCTTGCACAAGTGAAATCAATAAGATTATATATAACACAGGCTGTGGATTATAAAGTTATGTCCACCAAGGAGAGCGCTGGCCCTTTCCCCCTCTTTTTAAGGGAAATAAGAAACAATTTCTTACCATTGCAAAACAATAGTTAATATTAAAAAAGTCTTTTTATAGCAATAAAATATTTTTGTTATTGTTCTTAACGTAAGCTATTAACAAAGATTTTCTAACTGAAATAAAATTAATTTGAATTACAACGATAGTAATTTAAAAAAGACAAAATTAATATGCCATAGTAAAATGAACAAATTTTACTGTAACAACTGCGCATTACTTTATGTAAATGCAATTCACAACCATAGATTTAACAAAAATATTTTAAGTTCGACAAAGATTTAATATAAACATAAAATATTTTTTATTTCCATGACAATATGATAACAACTATTACTTTGTTGGATGAACATTTTTTTTATAAAAGCTCAACATTGCTGCTTTATTATAGTAAATGAGAATTTTATTAACAGTAAAAAAAGTTTATTCTGTAAATAAAAATATTCGCATTACTTTGACAAATCGTAGGTTTTTGTCCCAATAAGACACTGAAAATTTAATAAAAAAGGTACCTTAGTTGGTACATTTTTTATAGCCATTACAATTTTAAATTTAAGTTAAATAATATTATTTTATTTATCGCTTACAAAATTAGTTTCATTACCAGTGCATGTACATTTTTTTAAGTGTTGATATGTATTGTCAGTGGGAAATGTTTTGATTGACTGCCTGAAATCACGTGTACTTTTTCAACGAAATAATTTGTTAAACATTAACAAAATAGTCTGTAACCTTTGATATTAACAAAATGCTTATAAAATTTCATAATACCTTTACAAAACATATTTTTCTTTGTTAAAATAATCACAAACCCTGGTTTCCTACAAAAAATAATGTTAAAATTTTACAAAATAAAATTAAAAAATATTGAAGAGAAGAATTTAATTTAATTAATGTTGGTCATAGAAGCAAAATATTTTGTTTATTTAACAAACTACATACAAGTAAACAACAAAGCTCTTCGAATCCATTAGGAAATCTTGGTTAGATCTCTTAGGCGCTTCATTGGAAGACGATGACCCCCCTGTGGTGGCTGCCCAGTGTGTGGTCCCCCCATTAGCCCCCCCTCAAACCCCCAGCAACTAATTACAAGACCACTGATTATCAAAGTTTATTAATCAATGGTCTTTGACACAAGTGTTTTGTTCTCATCGTTGAGATAATGTCAGGATTAAAAAATATTACTTTTGCAAAATTTCATACTTTCTCAACAAAATATCTTTGAAATTAACAAAATGCTTATAAAATTTTCGGTAAAATATTTTGCTTTGTTAAATTAATTACAAACTTATGTTAACAAATCTGATTATAAGTAAGTGTAAGTAAATTAACAACTGTTTTACTGCAATAGCCACTGAAGGTAATATAACTTTTATCTTTTTAGTGTATTAGTTTTAGATACTTCCGTTTCCGCTTGGAATACAATAAAACGTAAAACTGTATGTAGGTAAACATCCTTCTTTAATGTTTTTCTTGGCGCCGGCAAACAATTAGATATTATTTATAAGCTTTGTTTAGAGCAATAAAATGTTTACAAATGCTACGAATTTGCTTGTTTCTCTAGCCTAGTCCTATGTTTAAACCAAAAGAGTAATACAATCAAAAAATGTTTTCTTGTTTCAGCTTTAGTGCAGAAAAGACTACGCAGAGAAAAAAGAAGTAAAAGAAAATTGTTGGAGCAACTGGAAATGGAAAGCAAGCGTAGATCTCAATTGGAAGAAGCTCTTAAGTGTGCTGGTGGACAGGAGCAAATCAATATTATAAATGGTAAAATATTCAATATTTCCTTTTATCATACACGGAGAGAAAAGTATATTGCTGATTACCATAATTATAATCCCCTTTACTATAATTTATATTACTATTTGGGACAACTATCTTGTATATTGCCAGATACTATGCATATTTAGTAAATTTTAAATATACATACATGTATGTTAAACCTTAAGGTGAAATATTATTATTCTCAACCAATTTTGTTTTTAATTCCTATTATAATTAAATTTTTTTCATTACTAATAAGTATAGTAAATTTTAAAATATTATGTTGCCATTTTAAATATAAAATATTTTAAAATCGAATATTTTTATATGTTAACAATTAAAAATTGTAACATATTTATTGTACTTTTTAATACCCAAAAATGTTATGAGAAAGAATTGAACCTACACCTCGCCAAAGTTTTTTGTTTTGAGTGCGTTCCATCAACTTCAAATACCGACAGACAGGTGTTTTGACCTAAATTGGGTATCATCAGTGTCGACACGACACTGTCGAGCAACTCGTAGTAGTGGAACACACCCAAAACAAAAAAATACCCGAGCTTATATAACATGGTTGGTAAGCCAACAGAGGCGAGATGTAAGAACATCACGTGATCCACACCGTCTAACGACGCGTCGCGACGTGGCCTTTGCCGCAATCGGTACATACTATGCAACCAAGTAGGTTCAATTCTTTCTTATAAGTATTACCAGTAATGGGTCAAGAAAGTTTATTGAAGAAACTAAGAAAATTGAATGTTTAAAATGTCATGAGTTACTATATTATATATTTTATTTAAATATATTGTTTATTTACCTTAAACATAAAAGTATCTTTATTTTTACTATATTTTTTATTAATGTGTAATATATTATAATATTAAATGTACACCTTACATTTGATTAAATCATATAGTAAATATTACTATTTGTAGATAGTAAAATCAATTTACTATATACTATATACGAACATATTAAAAATTAAAATATATATTATACATTTATGATTTAGTTATATAAATTATAAAATTGTATAATAAAAAATGGTATTTTGTATTACAATCTTAATATTGTATTGACGAATATTTAATATTGTTACCCTAAAAATTTGTTAAAGTAAATTTTACTATATTTTTTTACTATCTAAAATTTACTATACATTTCTCTCTGTGTACCATATGGTAAATAGAGAAATTTAGAATCATTTTCTCGACGTGTGCAAACGTCGCTACGTTATTAATTTTGTAGGTTGCGGGGGGTAAGGGGCGATAATGGGGGGGCGAAGGGGTGGTGGTGAGCTGTAATTTCGGAGGGGCGGCCTGTCAATCAGCACAAACATTCGACTTCTTTGATTAGCCGCGGGGGATATCCGCCAAGTTTGAATTTATCCGAAACAGATTACAAGATATTTGCCTTGTTATTTGTGCGTTCATTAATAAGACGTTGCACAGTGAGGCAATGTGTTTTTTTTTATTAGGAAAATCAAAAATAGTATGCCTGGACAAGATTATAAAATATTTTTTGTTATCACCATTACTTGACAATAATTTGTAAATTTATATTATGATTTTATGGGTTTCATCTAGTAGGCGCGGATATGTACAGTTGCTTTGACGTTTAATTTATAAATGGCCTCCATACACTGAGAAAAAGAAAGTGTTGATTTAAACGAAAACTGCTTACTTAACATGTTTAATAAACATTGTTTATACATATTAAATACAAACGATAGTCTCAGCATGTTAAAAAAAAAGTTTTGTTAAGTTTTGCATGTTGAATTAAGCATTTTACAATATTAAATTACTAATTTTTAAAATGTTACTTGTTTTAACGATTCTACAATATTTATCTAATACTTTGACAATATCAATTTAAAATGAATAAATTCTTCAAGGAATGTATTTGTTTGCCATTTCAATGCTGTGAAAGAAGTAATTGTAAATTTTACAATTATTATTCTATATTTTTGAGACCTATTATCATAATAAAATAGTATTTTATTATGATTATCAAAAGCCACAAAAAATCTACCATAAAAGTCAAAAATGACTTATTGTTATAGCGAAAAAGCAGTCACTAATATTTCTCGTCAAAAGCAATTTGTATCCAGGACATTTAGCAGTCAATTCCTATGAAATATTATTCGCTGAATCCGCAAATGTCGTCAAAAGTTAGAAAAGTAGAACAGTTTTTGAGATATAGTCAATTTTCCATATAATATGGAATTGACTCAAAAACTGCTCTACTTTTATAATTTTTGACAGTATTTTCGGATTCAGGAAACAATTTTACATAAGAATTGGCTGTTAAATGTTGGGAATACCATGGGATACCATGGTATAAGTGAAAAAGCAGTCACTAATAACTGTAGTAATTAGTCATTTTTGACTAACTTATGTTTATTGGTTGAAGAAATTGTAATGTTTTAATAAGAAGTGCTTTTTTAAATGTATATTACTTAACATAAAATAGTATATTAAAGAACTAATGTCGTAAGACGTCATTTTGTCTTTTGTCAAGGTCTTATGCCATGAGTTCTTTATGCTATTTTATTTTGCAAAAATTCTATAAAAAAATTAATTTTATACCTTAAATTTAATTTGGTCGAATTTTACTTTAGATAGTTGGTATCATAGTCATTGGTTTGACAGTTAATGTCAAAATCAATTCGCCATACCGTCCTTAATTTACTTATTTACAATAAGCGGCTGTTAATGTTAAAGAAGAAAAAAAAATTCTTTGGTGTTAAACAAAATTTATTGCCAGAAAAGGCTGTTTAACACGTTCACTGCCGACGTAATAGTCCGCCCATGTTGCAGTGCCGATGGCTTTTTTTAGAAATTTTAAATAAAAATGGACTAAAACTTGTTTCTTTCGTTTCATATTGAAAGGTTCTATATGAAAAAATACTAAACAAAAAACAAATAAACAAACTCGGTAGACGCGTTGGCGGCACCCAGCGACAAAAACCATGCTTTATGCCACCGTACAGAACGCGGGTCCCGCGTGCTCGGCATATTGTAAAATACACAAGAACGCGGTAGCCGCGTTGCCGGCAGTTAAAGTGTTAAAGTATAGCCAACCTATAAAATCCAAATTTTGAACGCAAAATAGATAAAATATATATACTCGTATAATTCAAATAACCAGAACTGTTTAAAATATTTCAAAACCATCTTAAAACTGGCTTAAAACCGCGCTAAAATGTTCTAAAACCATCTTTTTAGACCAAAAGTCCTAAACATTCATAAATATTAGATCTGTCAGGTGTCAAAGGCAACAGTTAATATTGACAGAATTTAGAATATGTTGGTTAAATATCTGTATCGTCATAAAAAAATTGTATCATAATGGATCTCATTATAATACAGGTAAGAAATACAACAAAAATATTAGGTACGTTAATTTCATAAAATTAGTCAATCATAAATGTATCAAGAAACTCAAATTGTTGTTTTAAAAATATTATAGAAAATACAAGTAATAGGTATAAATTGGAATGGAATTTTAACAAAAATACTTTAATTGTGTTTTAATTTTTTGCATATTCATTTTTATTTTAATCACTGTAATTTATTTTTCTAAATTTTCTATGATTTTAAATTTTCCATGTAATTTTTTTTAAATTATATATAATATATTAATATTTTTTAATTTCAATGTGTTTTTTGAAGACTTTTATTTATTTTTTAGGTCTTTTTATATTTTGTTTTTTAGCAGTTTGTTTATTTCATTAATTTTGGAAAATAAAAATATATCTAGGTATGTAAAATAATTCAATTTTTTTCATTAAAATATTTTTAAAAAATATTTCGATCTAAAAAAGTTTTAGCTTTGTAATTAAATTACATTTTGAGGGTTCTTATTTATATTTTAGAAATTATTAATTATTTATTGATAAACATACTGAATAATTTTGACCCACTGTGCAAAAGTCTTAACCATCGGTAAACTTAGAAACATAGCGTAATAATATTGATGGGGGTATAAAGTGAAAACAATAGGACCCCATTTCGCAGTTGTTAATAAATTAACGTATGTTAACGGCTCAAACAGGCATATTTGACAACACCAACATCATTACATTAACCCTTTATACATAAATGTATAAATATAAATCTCGATCCTTTGTTTCAGAAAAACTGAGCTCTCATTCCGATCAAAAAAGAGAATCTACATCGTCATCATCAAAAAATCCAACCACCTCGCAGACAAACATGAATCACATTTCGCCCATTGACAGGGAAAGGGATTCCTCCAGAAATATGATGGTGCAGGAACGTTTGGAGAGGGAGAGGGAGGAAAATGCCACCACCTCCATGCCTTCAGGTGTTCATGGATATCCTCAGGGGTTAAGGGATTCCATGCCGAATCCAGCAAAAGAGGAGATGAAGCCTTGGCCTTACAGCGGCATGGACTTGATGAACACTGGAGCTGCATTTTGGCAGAATTATTCCGGTAAGTTTTTTATATTGGGAAAAAATATTCATTTTTGTATGAACGACTGATGAAAATGCTATACCATACTTATACTCTCCCAGAATCTTTATTTTTGGACAACAGTAACATTAGTATTGGGTCGTTATTTTTCAACAAAATGTTTTTAAAGTTTCTCCACCGAAATCTTTTTTTTTTGCTTAAATTTGTTTTGTTCACCCTTGGGAAATTTTTGAAAAATGGACAGAAACATCGATTTTTTTTTAAATTGTAGGTAAATATTTACTACATAGAAAAAAATAAGTGAATTCAGTAAATTTTTTTTTAATTATTTTTTCTAAAAAAGGCCAAAAAAAATTGAGGTCAAGATTTTGTCTTAAACATTTTTTCATATTTGTAATAGATGTCGCTGTAATGAAAAAAAATCAATTTTGTTGTATACGATTCTACAATAATTTTTGAATAAAATACTTGGTTTTATTTTTTAAATTTTTATTAAAGTAGGTGCTCAAAATGGTGGCCTTTGACTTCAATGCATTTATTAATTCGCATTTCGTTTTAATATTCTGCTAACACTGCTCTGGGATATTCCTGCTAATACATTATTTCATTATTTCCACCTGTGACTGTTGCTCGACGAACTCTTTTTTTCGGTTGAAGACTCCCGTTTGTAGTAAACTGCTTGACTGTACGGTGAAATGAAGTACGTGATCGAGTTTTTTTTCGGAAAACGCTGAGCGTGGATATTAACAGCATCATCAAGATTCCTGTCTGCTTTTCCATAAATCAAAATCATTTCTATTTTTTCTTTCACTGTTAAAAAATCCATTATGAATAACTTAACCATTATGAATAACTTAACGAACTAAATTGATTAAATAATGCTAAACTATAAATAGTTTCTTTATACCTCAATAATAATTATTATTTATAACTAAATTCTATTTTTTATACCTCAATTAGGATTAAATTAATTAATTGACAAAATAATGGTTTTTTTACCTTAAATGGGGTATTTTTATTAAAAATAGTACAATAATCCTTTAAATTAAAGGATTTAATGCTGGCAGGTAAATAGTGACCATGGTGCGCAATAGATAATTATCACCGAATGAAATAATGTATAAAACTTAAACCAAAGGAAACTTAAAAATTAGTTAAAAAATCGTGGGTACTTAAAAAAATCAGATTTAATTTAACAAGATAGTTTTTACCAAAAAAAGTGATTTTTATGGAAAAATTATTGCAGAATTGTATACAGAAGAAAAATCGAACAAAATTGATTTTTTTTTCATTACAGAGCCATCTATTACAAACATGAAAAAATGTTTAGACAAAATCTTATTTTTTTAGTCGAATGATTCGAATCTGCATTAAAAAAAAATAGGGTGTTCCAATGGAAATTTATAAGTTACCCCCTGTTTCCCCTATAAAGAGGAGAGTATGAGGACCAATTTTAGTACTGATTGTTTTCCCCCCTGAAATTATTTAATTTTAATTTTAAACTTTTTTTCGTAAAATGCATACTAACTGAGATATTTCAAAGTTGAAAGGTCCTAAAAACCAGCATTGCAAAAAAAATAATAAAATTGTATTTTTTCCAGACTGTAGTATACTTGGCCTAACATGAAGCAGAAAAGCAAATTCAAGGCACTCTAGTTATAGAAATAAAATTTAATCAAAAAATGATTTTACTTGTCAAGAATTGACAAATGACGTATACATTCAGAATTTCATTTTGTATTGAAATATGTAAAAATGAATAGGCTTTTTCATTAAAAATATAAATAAAATATAAATAGTATAAATATAAATTATATAAATTTATAAATTACACTCCTAGATAAAATACCAAATTTTTGCGATGAACCACGAATTTAATAAAAAATGGCATTTTCATTAAAAAAATAATAATTTAGCCAACTCAGGACTTTTGTTGAAAGTTGTTTATATTACGTAGATATTAATTTCAAACGAAAAAAATATGAAAAAAAATGTGGCAATGTCAAAATTTTGACCTTTTGCTTTTTTTAGAAATTTTTTTTAAAATTGTTAACGATAGAAACATTTTTGTTTTTGTTATCGCATTTTCAAGAAATTTAAGCAAAAAAAGAAAATACGGGTCTCATCGATTTCGGTAGAGATACTGTAAAAAAAATCGTTTTTCGTCGATTTGAGATGGAAAGACCCATTCGTATTTCAATGACAAAAATCATAAAAATCCTGCAGGACTATAAAAGTGATAAATGGCCACCATTTAAACCACTTAATCAGTTCTTTTAGTCCCAAGTGGCTGCGAACTTGTCGTCTGTGTCCGTTTGGCTGTAACGGGGACTTAATCCAGCTCGAATGCCATTATCCAGTCTGGCAACAGAAACACAAACGGCGAGCAAAGCAAAGCGGAGAGATTGCCAGTGGCCATTTAGCACCGTGTTATCTTCAATGTGCCAATTTCGCGCCTCGTCTGCGCGACGACGGGGTAGCGAATGTCTTTTTGCGACCGCCAACTCTCCCTCACCCCCTCCCCTGCGCGCACCGCTCCCGGACTAATCCGGTGTCTTTAATTAAGAAGTTTGCGGGCGCAGAGCTGTATAAGAGGACTATCTTTAATTCGGCCTTGCTGAACGGACGAAGAAAAGGGTTCTGATGCGATTTAAATTGTTTCGAGGCGTCAGCCCTTTTAGAAATTAATTCAAATAACTGTGGATTTGTGTGTACAATTTCAAGTAAAAACAATGCGCGCTAATGGTTTAAGTGGCCAAATCAGGGTTTCAAACTTAGCAGAGTAAAGTTGTTTTGTAGGTATTTTTTCCAATTCCAAATATTAAATTAATTTTCCTGTTTTTGTTATTATCTAACAGGCGTTGTGGCTTTATGGCGCTATAGTCAGGGGCTAAAGTTGGCAACAGGTTTTTAGTCACGAGCTGAAGTGCCTTCCTTGGCTTTACTTTCAGCGTGTTGTTAATCCATTTTCAAGGAATACAGTTCAATTTATAACCTTTATAATCTGTGTTTAAAACACATAAAAAATTTACGTTTGACGGTAACGCAGATTCCCCTATTATTTTATAGATGGCGCTCCATACAAATATTTGATTTAAATCATTTTAAGATAATATAATGTAACCGAATACATTGATAATATTATGTATTTTCTTGGTTAAAATACGCTAAAAAAGTATCGCTAGTAGCGCCACCACTCGGCTGTTTCATCGTAACAAAAGTACAACTTTTGATAATCAGCTGTCAAACGCGTGTGTTACAAACTAGTGTTTTTGAGAATAAAGCCGGAAATTGTTAAAAAATATCGAAAAAAAACCGTGGCACGATTAGTTGTGTTGTTGGGTGTATTTCAAGAGGAAATCCTGGGTTGAGTTTTTATCGGTTTTCCAATAAACAGTGTTAATCCGAATGAAGAAATAAATTTCATACAGTCCCTGTAAATATAAATTTTAATTGTTAATTGTAATAAATACACATTTTAGTAATGATTAAAGTGAAAAGTGTAAACATGTCAATTCAGTAATAATCGTCAAACAAATAAGTCGTTTAAATTTAAACAGCATTTAGCATTATTAAAAGCGTTAATTAAGAATTCTTTAAAGGCTCCACTCAACGGTAAAATACCATTATATTATGTATTATATATAATATTATGTTGCCATTAATTCGTAGGTATATTTTGTTGTTTAAAATGCAGTTGTCGGCGTTTTTTAGAAAACTGAAATATAAAAATGGTTGATTTTAAGGTTATGTTTGTGCAAAAAATATTTATTACTAATTTCTTAAAAATGACAAACTTAGATATAAATTATATTAGGTAAAGTTATCTGCACCAACAAATGTACTTACCGAATTGGATCCTTTGGCAAAACATGAAAATGCAACGATATAGTTCTTGAATTTAATTTACAATTAAAAACACAATAATTCACCATGATCCCTTTGAAGCATTTAAGCGTTGAGTTTCTTAATAAATGATATAAGGAATAATTAATCGAAATCGAGTACTAAAAAAGTTTTTTAATTTTTTCCTTGCAACGTAAAACACAAATAACGTGCGCGATTTAGCTGTGCAATTGAACAAAATTTGTCGAGTAAGACTTCTGCCTTCCTATCGTTTGTGAAAAAACTACCTATTTATTTAAAAATGATGTACAGTTCGTATGCTTTAAATGTAATGTTGACAATTCTTAAATTCACGCAATGCTATCGAAGTCCACCAGATGGCGCGCGCGTTGCAAAAATCCGATACTTCTTTAGCGTATAATGTACATTGATATGTTTTCTGTATAAATAAACTAATTTCTCCCTTATTTTTTTTTATTTTACCAATGAAAATTATGGAAAAGATGTAAAAAAAGCAAAGTAATTCATTTGAAATAATGCCCGTATTACCTCGTAATAATTCTAAAATACTATTTTCCAACATTTTATGGTTTTTCCTACTTACATTAATTTAATCTAGTGACCAGTTCCCTACACTGGTTTCAAGATATGTTCGATAGATGGAACAGTGGTAAATTTAATCTATTTTGAATATTTTTTCTATATGGGCCTATAAAAAATTATTATACGCTTAAAAAAAGGGATATATTGTATTGGGTTAATATTAACAAGTTCAATTTAAATTTATCTGTAAAAAAACATCCATGAAATACCTTCACGTATTAAAAATACCCATTATAATCCAAAGAAGGCCATAAAAGCATTTAAATTTAAAATTAAACTCGATAATGAGTCGGTGTTTTGATTGTTAATGGACACAATGTTTTCTTTTTTCAAAAGGCGCCGTGCGTATTGTTGCCTCTTTTCAAAAACTCACTCACTTTTACGCCTATTGAAAACGCCGAGCAAATGTTGAGCTACTGGAATTGAATGTCCTTTTGTTCGAAAGAAATCATTTAAAAATCTTTCAAATCGGTTGGTTTTCATTTTCAAACCGTGAAAATACTTGATTTATTAAGTAGGTAATTTTGGATTATCATTGTTGTTACTTTTGCCACAGAAACTTTTTTGTA